AAAAAAAAAAAAAAAAAAAAAAAAAAAAAACTAATATAAAATACAGAAGGGCAAAAATGTAACTTCAATACTACACTTTGTAAAACTTTTTATTCCTCTAAAAAGGGTGGAAGTGTAATTTTCTATACTCTTTTTAGATTTTATACCATTTTTTAAAAGTGAAATTTGGGATTTATTGTGCTTTGGAATTAATTAAATATATTATTTTTTAAAATTTATAATTTTATTAAGTACTATGGTCATTTACAAAATTTTAAAAATATATATTGTTATTTTAAATTTAGGATTAAAATTGTAACTTTTTATTATTATTATTATTATTATTATTGTATTAAAGAATATAATATATTTGGAAAAGTTTTTATTTTCAAAAAGACAATTATTTGAATATTTAGGATTAAAATGGTAACTTTATTATTATTATTATTATTATTTTCCATCGTCATGCCCTTCTTAAAAAATTCAAACATTTCTTCATTATTGTCCGTGAATATTAAATCATCAACATACAATAAATAATGAGAATTTTACTCCCTTTTCAGTTTTCACATAATGTATGTTCATATGGGCGTTTAATAAATCTCAACTTTTCAAAATGAGAATCAATGCGGCTGTAACATGCTCTCGGAGCTTGCTTCAAATCATATACAGCTTTCTTTCATTATCTGTACGAATCTATCTGGTTGCTCCACATATGCCTCTTCTTGAAGCTCTCCATGTAAGAAGCCCGACTTCACATCAAGTTGATAAATAGGCTATGATTTTTGGGCTGCAATAGAAATTATAAGCCTTATAGTATCTTGACGGGCCACTAGTGCAAACTTCTGTTTATAATCAACTTCATACTTCGTTTTGAAAACCCATTTTACTTCAATTTGTCTCCGCTTTAGGAAGATCAATTAGCTCCCAAGTCTTATTCTTTTCGATGGATCTGATTTCACTGTCCATGACTTCTCACTCTTTCTTATCCTTCGACAATTGAATCATTATTCATAAATAATGCAAAATAAATACTATTAGAACTTGAGTCATAATCAATCATATGATCTTTTTCTTTGTTCTTGGGTTTCTTTGATGGTCATTGCGGGTTATCACCACATTTCTCCAAATAACACACATTTCAAACTCTTATCAAGAGGAACCATATGCTATGCACTCAAAGATTCTAAAGTGATTTTTTTTTTTTTAATTTTCGTCAAAGATCACATCAACTTATCACCACCGTGTTTCTTCTCGTCATTGGCCGAGTGATCTTCATCTATTGATTTTCCATGTCGTTTTCGTCAAAGATCACATTGCGACTTATCATCACCGTAAAAATAAAAAAATTTCCATGTCTTTTTCATCAAAGATCACATTGTGACTTATCACCACCATGTTTCTTCCTGTCATTGGTCGAGTCTCGAATTTCAAACTCTTGTCTTCGTGTACAGTTATCTTTTTAAGTTAAAAAAATAAAAAAAAATTGATTAATTTGTAAAAGTTTTGTGGCAAAAAATTTTGGCCCATGCAGGTCTCGAACCTGCAACCTTCACATTATTAGCACGATGCTCTAACCAAATGAGCTAATACGCCAACAGGCATGTAGGTTTCAAACCTGCGTCCTTCGCGTTTTTAGCACGATGCTCTGAGCTGATATTACTCTATTTTTTAAATTGATTGTTGTAAAAAACTTTGGCCCAAGCAGGTCTCGAACCTGCAACCTTCGTGTTATTAGCACGACACTCTAACCAACTGAGCTAATAGGCCAACTGGCATGTAAGTCTCAAACCTGCATCCTTCGAGTTATTAGCATGCTTAAGTGATATAATTTTGGCCCATGCAGGTCTCGAACCTGCGTCCTTCGAGTTATTAGCACAACGCTCTGGAGCTAATAAGCCAATTGGCATGCTTATATTTTTAAAATGATTGTTGTAAAAATCTTTGGCCCATGCAGGTCTCGAACCTGTGACCTTCACATTATTAGCACGATGCTCTAGCCAAATGAGCTAATATGCCAACTGGCATGTAGGTTTCAAACCTGCGTCCTTCGCGTTTTTAGCACGATGCTCTGATATTACCCTATTTTTTAAATTGATTGTTGTAAAAAACTTTGGCCCATGCAGGTCTCGAACCTGCGACCTTCGCGTTATTAGCACGACGCTCTAACCAACTGAGCTAATAGGCCAACTGGCATGTAAGTCTCAAACTTGCGTCCTTCGAGTTATTAGCACGACGCTCTGAGCTAGGCCTATTAACATGCTTAAGTGATATAATTTTGGCCCATGCAAGTCTCGAACCTGCGTCCTTCAAGTTATTAGCACGACGCTTTGAGCTAATAAGCCAATTGGCATGTTGTAAAATCTTTGGCCCATGCAGGTTTCGAACCTGCGACCTTCGCGTTATTAGCACGATGCTCTAACCAACTGAGCTAATAGGCCAACTGGAATGTAGGTCTCGAACCTGCGTCCTTCGAGTTATTAGCACAACGCTCTGCAATTGTCATGCTTAGGTGATATTACTCTATTTTTTAAAATGATTGTTGTAAAAAAACTTTGGCCCATGCAGGTCTCGAACCTGCGACCTTCGCGTTATTAGCACGACGCTCTAACCAACTGAGCTAATAGGCCAACTGGCATGTAAGTCTCAAACCTGTGTCTTTCGCATTTTTAGCATCCATGCAGGCCTCGAACCTGCGATCTTCGCGACCCATGTAGGTCTCAAACCTGAGACCTTTGCGTTATTAACACGACGCTCTAACCAACTGAGCTAATAAGCTAATTGTCATGTAAGTCTTGAACCTACATTCTTCATTTAAAATAATTGTTGTAAAAAATTATGACCCATACAAGTCTCAAACTTAAGACCTTCGCATTATTAGCATAATGCTTTAACCAACTAAGTTAATAAAAGTTTGGAGTAATAATAATTGAGTCAATTATTCACTAAAGAGATATTTTAAAGCATAATTATGATGCACATAAACAACTATTGGGAGTTATTGAGCGAGGAAAATGAAAAATTTACCTTTGGTTGAATTTTGTGGGCCATATGGTTAAAATGACAAGTAAAAAGTAAAAAGGTGTAGATGGTGAAAAAGTGAAAATGATTTTAGTCGGTGAAACGTGTCAGTCCAAACCATCGCCACTAGATATTGTCTGTTTTAGCCTGTTACATATTGTCATCAGCCTCACGGTTTTAAAACACGCCTATTAGAGAGAGGTTTCCACACTTTTATCAGGAATGTTTGGTTTCCCTCTCCAACCGACGTGGGATCTCACAATCCGCCCCTCTTGAGACCCAACATCCTTACTGACACACCATTCAGTGGTTGGTTCTGATATTATTTGTAACAGCCTAAACTCACCATTAGTAGATATTGTCCGCTTTAGCTCATTACATATCATCGTTAGCCTCACTATTTTAAAATGCGTCTACTAAAAAGAAATTTCCACACATTCATCCAAAATTATTACGATATCTCGTGAGAATAGAGAGACGTGAATGATGCCCTGTCATCATTTCTAAACACGCAAGCATGGCAGCTGGTTGTGTTCTTGTCTGGTTTTTTTTTTTTGTCTTTTTTTTTTTACATAATTATAATTAGTTGACCAATCAACACAGCTTTTCAGCATGATTTTTGGTTCAAATCCCATCCCATATTCTTCTTTTAATTCATTCATCATTCATTTTTGTGCTGTAAACTTTGACCATTTCTTTCATGATTTTGTCTATAAAAATATTCAAATTTATTAATTTTTTTTAAAAAATAGTTTCGGGTAAAGCCGGATCTAAATGTTAGCTATATAAACACTATATACGATGTTGAAATTTAATAAATTTATAATCAAGTGTATCCGCCTTTTAGAGCGGTTTGATTGAAGGATTTATGAATGAAAATGAACATATAAAACCAGTGTTCTTTTGAAGGTTTCGAAATATGATGCTCAAGAAAAATTTATCCCAAGTTCTAACGAACAGTTGTCCTAAATTTAGTGAAATGGTGTGGTAGGTGTCCCGAAACGAAAATTAGGACAACCGCACTGCTTTAGGTCATCCTTCGTTACTAAGATTGATCGAAAAATAGGCTAAAAAAAGACTAAAAATTAGGGTTTACGATTTCTGAAAGTAAATAGTTATCGAGAAGAATCAAACCCCATGTGAAGAATATGGGTAAAAGATGAAGTGTTTAACGATGGTATTTGTCTAATTTAACCTTTTAACACGTTCATGTAATCAACCCAATCTTACAAATTTATAAGCTAAACTTTAATTTAACATTTAACGTGTTATTAAAGTAGAAGTTCTTATCACCAACATGTGAGATCTGACGTTGGTTAGAGATGAAACCAAAACATTTGTTATAAGGGTGTGGAAACCTCTCTCTAGCATACATGTTTTAAAAACAGGGAAGCTAACGACTATAGGCAACAGGCCAAAAGAGACAATATCTGCAAGCTATGAGCTTGGGTTGTTACAACTAATATCTAGACATCGAGCGGTGTGTCAGCGATGATATTGACCCTCTAGGTCCCACAAACTTTTTCACCGTGTGAAAATGTTCACACATTTTAAAAATTGTGAGCCTAACCGCTGATCGCAAAAATTGTGTTCCTATTTTATTCTTCATATGACATGTTTTGGATCTTATCTTCCAAATCATTTTTTTTTGTCAAATTCAACTCAAGGTTCGCTTCTTGCTCAATTATTTGCGCTCTGTCGAATTTCATGTCTAGAGAAAAATGGAAAGTTTGGACGTAAAATACCTTAATTTCGGCTAATATGAGCATAGTTCAATTATCAAATGAAAGTAAAAACGAATACAGCTCCGGAACAAACTTACCAGCCTCATTGCTTCTCTCTCTTTTATTTTTTTCTGCATCTTACTCTTATCTTTTTGTCGAGATAAATCATATTCTCATAACCCTTATCGCTACTTTTCAGTCTCGATGGAAAATGTGGGAGAGGAGGAAGGAAAACGCAAACACCTATTTACTTCGAAAAATCAGTCACTGTCCAATATGAGCATAGTTCAATTGATATAAAGTATATATATCATCGATCGAAAGGTTAAAGATTTGAATATCTGTATGGTAAGAATATAAAAAATAAACTATACCTTTTTTATTTTGTATTTTTAAATGATTTATTTTCTGTTCCGTAAATTTAAGTTTGCATGTTCTTAAATTCAATACAAAAACTCAATTTATGTATATTTGTTGAACACCAAACATTTTAAGTATAATAATTGACTAGTTTGAGAATAACTAATAAAAAAAAAAAGACATTTTCTACCATTTTAAGGTGGAATGATTGCTCTCTCAGTCGTTCCATCTGGAACGACTGTACTTTTAATGTTGTAGGGTTGGACGAGCCAATAACTCATATGCCTTCGGTCTGTTTTTTCAACAAGAATCACAACATTACCTTACTTCTCTACGATACGAAAACTCCAAGTTTTAAAAGCAGAGTGAACAAAAACTAATAAGAATGTCATACCTCTAAGAATATGGAGTATATGAAGCACCGACGGGTAGATCATATCTCAATCTAGAGTGGTCCATGACCGGGCTAATGAAAAACGGTCCAAATTTTAATGTAATGTATGTCGGTTTCAATGTACTATGATGTCTTTTTTGTTTTTTTTTTCCAAAAAAAAAAAAAAAAAAAACAAAATCTGTCTCATGACAGTCACATGGAACATTAATTATGTTGGGTCGTTTTTTTCCCTTTATGATCATGAAAAAGTGCTAACTTTTTTCCTAAATGGGAAAAAAAACATCATTCGACTAAACAAATTATCATCTCAATCAAACTTCAAACCACAAATATTTCAACCCA